AAAAAGTGTTCACTGTCTAAGGTCACTCTAGTTACCTACTATCTTAAAAGAAGTAGATATAGGATAACAATATATATATAATTTGGTTTACTTTTTTTAAAAAAAGGGTTAGATTGTCAGGTCTGTTTTAAATTTAATTTTATTAAAACAATAAAATTCATTTAATATATATAATATTACTAAAATTTATTATATATTATAGTTTACCTATAGATAAATTTGATTTTCGATAAGTGGGATGTTTATGCACTAGATGCTATATAGTCATTATTGCCAGTTGTTCATATAAATCCATTTTGATTGTTATAACACTATTACATGAGAAATGCTTAATAGAAGGTCGAGCCTTACTTATTTTTTTTACAGGTTGATTGTCTGGTAATTTATATTCATGATCAGTTCTTTGTGTATAACCAAGACAGGCTGTTGCACATTCTATATATTGGTTATTCTTTGTATTAAGGTATAGATTTTGAAGCTCCTAGTAGTATCCTAATTCTTTTTAAAGAGGTATAAAAAATGCTTTAATGATAGTACGAAATGTATCTTTTATTTGCTGTTCAAGTTCCAGAGCTAAATTTTCTTCATTAACCAAGTCTTTTTCAATTTTTATTGTTATTAAGAATTTTACTAGATTATCTATTTCTTTATTTCTAAATTTAAAGGATATAGCCTTTTCAAGATCATGTATATTATAAATAAATTCATTCCTATCACTTTCACTATCATCAACATCAGAAGATATTTCATCATCTAAGAGAAAATATGTTATGTTTTTAATATTTAAAGGAAAGGATGATGTATTTTTTATAGTCTGAAAAGGGGATGGTATACTTTCTGTATTCTCTATAGTTCAAGGTGGGAATGATATACATTCAACACTTAAATAAAAAAATAATGCATTATTATCTAAAAGAAAGAATGATATGCTTTCAATACTTGAGAACAACACATTATTGATATCTAAAAGAAGAAATGATGTGTTTTCAATACTTGAGAAAATAGACTCTATTATTTTATTATTAGAAGATTTGAGTCTATGCTTTCTAGCTTTTTTTTTTGTCTTTCATTTTGAGTACATGAATTACATCTGATAAAGATTTTAGTTTCCTTTTCACTTGGCTTCATGAATTTAGCAACTAACTTGGTCTTATTACAGCAGGTGCAAGATTTAGTTTCTTCATTAGTGTCATGAACTGTAATGTTTGGATTAGACATTTCTTTAAAGATATTTTGTTAATTTATATACTAGAAACAAACTTCTTTTAGTAGAACTGTGTTGAAAATTAGAAAAGCTACTTGTTGTTTATACTAAAAGTTCATTATATAATAAAGTTGATGGCAAATTTAATAAATTTAACTCGGAAAAAAATTTTATTTAATAATAATGATGTATTACATATGAATTTATTTTCATCTTTGATATCGATTAATTATATAAATTCAAAATAATTTAATTCACAAATACAAAATATTTTAATTCATTACTATTAAAGTTTTTTTTGTTAACATATCACTATATAAATAATTTAATTTTATTCTCTATCGATAAATATGAATTTACAGAATTTCACCTTTACATGAGTATATTTTGCTATATCGATTTATTAACTTAATTTCACTACGTATTAATTTTTAATTTATATGTAACGTATTAGTTAATAACAGTATATGTACTGATATTCAGACTTATGCATAAATTATGGATTGCATCAAAAGGGTTCAGAAAAGCTGACGATCACCTGACCATGAATTTTTTCTGTCATCACTTTGTTATCTACATCAAATATGATACAAACTTCTGATTATCTTGTTAAATAGTTAGTAGTAATAATAATATATCAATTATTTTATTTGATAATTAGTAAAAGTTTTACTAAATTAATTTCAATTCATTTAAAGGCTTATCTTATTTGAATAGAATAAAGAGGCTCAGTTCATCAGCCCTTTAGTCTCTTTTGGCACTCTTTATATGTTTTAATATATTTTTGTACATCTCAATATATTTGGTCCCAATAATATTGTTTAGCTATTTTGTAGTTTATAGCATCTGTTTTTAAATGTTCTGCAGTAAAATGCTTATGCATTATATACAAAACAGGTTCTATTTCATTTCATTTGATAATATAAAAAGAGTATTGAGGATTCTTTTTGTTTTTCTTGTATAATAGTCCTTTCTTAGTAATAAATATTTAACATGATGTTGTATTTGTTTAATCTGTTTCTGTAATAAAGAGTTAGATAACTTGTCTAATTCTATATAATTATATAAATTATAATAGAAGTCTAAATTCATAAAGAAAGGTTTTGGTATAAGGTCTGAGTTTAAAGTCTAGATAAGACATCTACATTAGAGTAAACTTTTTCTAGTTTATGGATAATTTCAAAGTTGTAAAGCTAAAGTTTTAGAATTTATTATTCTAAGTGTTCTTTAGGTTTAGCAAATTGTAACTATTTAAGAGCAAAATAGTCTGTGATTAAGATAAATTTGGCAGTTCTAAGATATTTGTAAAAATGTTCAATAGTTTATATAACTGTAGCACATTCAAGTTCAATAGCATTATAGTTGACTTTTTTTTGGTTAAGCTTTTACTTATATAGGTTACAAGATGTTCTTTTTTGTTTTTATCTAATTGACTAAGAGTAGCTTTGAATTCATGATTAGAAATATTAGTAGCTAAGATAAACAGTCTGTTAAAGTCAGAAAACTTTAATATAGAGATTGTAGTAAGTCTATTTCAATTTTTCAAAAGCTTTTTGTTGTAATTCATTTTATATATAAGGAGTTTCTTTATATAGCAACTAGTTTAAAAGCTATACTACTTTAGAAAAGTTATGAATAAACTGTCAATAGTAATCTACTAGTTCTAAGAATAAACATAGTTAGGTTATATTGTTAGGTAGTTGAATCTTCTAAACAGCTTCTATCTTTTGAAAATTAGATACTATTTCAATAAAGATAACTATATATCCTAAAAATGATAAGCTTTGCATTTAAAAATTATATTTTTCTAAATTTAATTGTAAACCAGTTTTTCTAATTCCAATAAAAGTTTGTTATAAATGTTCTAAATATTTATTAAAAGTCTTGAAGTATACTATAGTATTATTAAAATAAACTACTACAAATTTTTATGCAATGTCTTAATATATTCTGTCTATCAATTATTATTTTTTTTTTTGGTATTAAGGTAAGGCCTTGCTTATATCTTTATTAATAATTTAAAATAGTTATATGTATATATGCTATAATCAAAACCAACATTTGCAATTAGAGCTAACCATTAAACTGCTAACTATATAGCTACTACTATTTGTACAAAACAAATAAATTGAAAATTACATGCA